TGCTCCAACTCCTAGGTAGGGTCGCACTGGGATAATTGGGATTTTGGCTGGGATTCGGGACTGGTCCAGGGCCAGAAAACGCGCCGTCTGATCGACCAGCTCGCCCTCGGGTAACCAGTGCAAACTGTACGGTGCGACGCGTATGCGTTGCTGTCGATTGCAATGGGTGGGCCCAAACCTGGCGCGCTCAGATGCGAGCGTAATCACGCGATGCGGGCGCCGATGCGCGGTCAAGCTCACTCCACAAGAAAATTCACCCGACCCCCTTTGGGCCAGCACCGAAGGTCACTCCGGCGAAGGGTCACTCGTACGTGTAGTCGAGACTGGCAGGTGCGCCACGGAAGTGTTCGACGGCATCACCTACAAGTCCGGTTCTGAATTGTGCGTCCCGTACGATGCCATGGTACATAAAACAAAGTCAGGCAATCAGCCGTTCATCTCTTCGAGCACGGTGTTGCTCAGACTGTTGCGCCCATGCTCTCGCGGAAAAGGTGCTGCTCTGCCTGTTGCGTCCACACATTGATGACCACGGTATGCCTGAGATCCACGGCGCTGCTCAACCTGCGGCGCGTGTCATGTTCCGCGAATGCCGAACGAGATGCAACATCGCCATCATCTTCCATCCTCTTCTCCCCAAAGTGACCGTGGACTCGTTCGGTCCCTCCTGAAACGGGATGGAAGCGAACGACTCCACGGTCCACACGGTGCACTGGGATGTCCCTCCTGGTTCAGACGAGATCGTGGAGTCTCGTCATGCGCATCATCATCATCATCATCGTCATCGTCATCGTCATCATCATCATCATCATCATCATCATCATCATCATCATCATCATCATCATCATCATCATCATCATCATCATCATCATCATAGTCATCATCAGCAGTATCATCCTCATCGTTTGCATTCGTGGGGCATCTTGGAATCTTCGCACAGTAGCTGCTAGCAGGGTGCTTTGCTGGGGTAGTACTCCCTCCTCCTCCTCCTTATCCTGGGTATCTTCCTCCTCTTGCTCCTCTTTCCTTTACCTCTCAGACCCCCTCCCACTCCCTCGCCTCTCCTCCGCCTCTCCTCTCCGCAGAAGCCAGACGTACGTGGCATCGCGCGGCAGCACGGGCGCAAGCCTTTGCGGCAGCGTCCTTGTCCTCAGCGGCAAGGCGGGAGCGGATAGGAAGATGGAAGACGATGGAGGCGTAGGAGTTTGATGGGGGATCTGGAACAGGAAAAGGAAAGGAGGATGAGGGTGAGAAGGACGGTTGAAGTTATACTGGATTTGTATACATACATCTATATGCAGATGCATCTACGTGCATACATACATACATCCATACATACACAGCACACCCTTACATCCATCCATGGCCACACGCCTACTTACTTGCATCCATCCACACATACATGTAGATGGTAATGCATCTCCATCTGCGTACTATAACAACACGCCCACGCATGCATGTATGTATACGTATATACACGTATATGGATAGGCACATCCATACACACATGACAGCATACATCATATATGCATACACACATGCATGCATACAACTATATGTATGCATGCATGCATGCATGTATGTATGTATGTATATGTGTATGTGTATGTGTATGTGTATGTGTATGTGTATGTGTAGGTGTATGTGTATGTGTATGTGTATGTGTATGTGTATGTATATGTATATGTATATGTGTATGTATGTATGTATGTATGCATGTATGTATGCATGTATGTATGTATGTATGTATGTATGTATGTATATCTATATACACATATATGTGTGTTTCTGTCGCGAAGCAATGCAAGGCAATACAAAACAATTCAAAGCCATGCAAAGCGCGGCGACGAGGCTGCGCGCGGCGATGGGACGCGGCGACGGGACGGCGACGGCGATAGGGCGGCGACGGCAACCACAAGGCGGCGGAACCGACGTGCAGGCCCAGACGACGGGCGGCGACGAGTCGGCGACGGGGCGGCGACGGCGGCGACATAGTCGCCAGAGCGCCAGGCAGGCCCAGACGACGCGCGGAGACGAGGCGGCGATGGCGGCTATTTAGCCGCCAGACCAACAGCCAAACCCAGACGACGGGTGGCGACGAGGCGGTGACGGGTCGGCGACGGCGGCGGCTACATAGCTGTCGGAACGGCAGCTAGGCCCAGCTCCTTGGACAAGGAATAACAACCCCTAAGTGTAATTACTGTTTTGGGAATCGATTGGGGTATATATATATGCATGTGTAAGAATAGGTGGGTAGTTGTGGAACAGGAGAGAGAGAGAGAGAGAGAAAGAGCAATCTATAGAGAGAGAGAGAGAGAGGCAGCATACATTGAGCGTTATAGACACGACAAATGTATAAGGGAATGGGATGCTAGAGAAAACTAACATTATCCTGGCGAAGGACCCAACCATACGCAATTGATCGTAACGCGTTGTGGGTGCCGCTTTCGGTGGGGCTCCCTATGGGGCCACGAAGCGCTGCCCTGGGCACGGAAGCCGCATGCGAACTGCGCCACTGGGGCGGGCCTCCGGTGGAGCTCCCTATGGGGCCACAAAACGCTGCCATGGGCGGGGGAACCGCATGCGAACTGCGCCATTGCGGCCTTCGGTGGGGCTCCCCATGGGGCCACGAAGCGCTGCCCTGGGTACGGAAACCGCATGCGAACACCCCCACTGGGGCCTTCAGTGGAGCTCCCTATAGGGCCACGAAACGCTGCCCTGGGTGGGGGAACCGCATGCGAACTGCGCCACTGGCGCCTTCGGTGGAGCTCCCATGGAGCCACGAGACGCTGCCCTGGGTGGGGGAACCGCATGCGAACTGCGCCATTGGGGCCTTCGGTGGAGCTCCCTGTGGGGCCACGAAACGCTGCCCTGGGTGGGGGAACCGCATGCGAACACCCCCACTGGGGCCTTCGGTGGAGCTCCTTATGGGGCCACGAAACGCTGCCCTGGGTGGGGGGAGATCATGCGAGAGCAGCCACTGGGGCCTTCGGTGGAGCTCCCTATGGGGCCACGAAGCGCTGCCCTGGGTGGGGGAACCGCATGCGAGAGCAGCCACTGGGGCCTTCGGTGGAGCTCCCCATGGGGCCACGAAACGCTGCCCTGGGTGGGGGAACCGCATGCGAGAACAACCACTGGGGCCTTCGGTGGAGCTCCCTATGGGGCCACGAGACGCTGCCCTGGGTGGGGAACCGCATGCGAGAGCAGCCCCAATGGGGCCTTCAGTGGAGCTCCCTATGGGGCCACGAAACGCTGCCCTGTGTGGGGGAACCGCATGCGAACACCGCCAGTGGGGCCTTCCGTGGAGTTCCCTATGGGGCCACGAAGCGCTGCCCTGGGTGAAGGAACCGCGTGCGAGAGCAGCCACTGGGGCCATCGGCGGAGCTCCCTATGGGGCTACGAAACGCTTCCCTGGGTGGGGGAACCGCATGCGACCCCCCCCACTGGGGCCTTCGGTGGGGCTCCCCATGGAGCTACGAAGCGCTGCCCTGGGTGAAGGGACCGCATGCGAACACCGCCAGTGGGGCCTTCGGTGGAGCTCCCTTTGGGGCCACGAAACGTTGCCCTGGGTGGGGGGACCGCATGCGAACACCCCCACTGGGGCCTTCGGTGGAGCTCCCCATAGGGCCACGAAGCGCTGCCCTGGGTGGGGGAACCGCATGCGAGAACAACCACTGGGGCCTTCGGTGGAGCTCCCTATGGGGCCACGAAACGCTGCCCTGGGTGGGGAACCGCATGCGAGAGCAGCCCCAATGGGGCCTTCCGTGGAGCTCCCTATGGGGCTACGAAGCGCTGCCCTGGGTGGGGGAATCGCATGCGAACGCCGCCAGTGGGGCCTTCGGTGGAGCTCCCTATGGGGCCACGAAGCGCTGCCCTGGGTGAAGGAACCGCGTGCGAGAGCAGCCACTGGGGCCTTCGGTGGAGCCCCCCTATGGGGCCACGAAACGCTTCCCTGGGTGGGGGAACCGCATGCGACCCCCCCCGCTGGGGCCTTCGGTGGGGCTCCCCATGGGGCTACGAAACGCTGCCCTGGGTGAAGGGACCGCATGCGAACACCGCCACTGGGGCCTTCGGTGGAGCTCCCTTTGGGGCCACGAAACGTTGCCCTGGGTGGGGGGTCCGCATGCGAACACCCCCACTGGGGCCTTCGGTGGAGCTCCCCATAGGGCCACGAAGCGCTGGGTTGGGTACGGGAACCGCATGCGAACACCCCCACTGGGGCCTTCGGTGGAGCTCCCTATAGGGCCACGAAACGCTGCCCTGGGTGGGGGAACCGCATGCGAACACCCCCAGTGGGGCCTTCGGTGGAGCCCCCCTATGGGGCCACGAAGCGCTGCCCTGGGTGGGGGAACCGCATGCGAACACCCCCAGTAGGGCCTTCGGTGGAGCTCCCTATGGGGCCAAGAAACGCTGCCCTGGGTGGGGAAACCGCATGCGAACACCCCCACTGGGGCCTTTGGTGGAGCTCCCTATGGGGCTACGAAACGTGTGAGAGGTGTGCCGAGAGCAGAGGCAAGGAGGGGGAGGAGGGAGGAGGGGGAGGGAGAAGCGGGAGGAGGAAGGAGCGCGGGGCGCTGTCTCTTCAAAACGAGGACCCAACACCAGAGGATGGTTGGGAAAAACGTGAAGAGGAAGGATGGGATACAGTGGGCGCCAAGGATGCTTCGTTCACGAGAACCGTCCATGCTTTTCTGGCAACTGCGCGCTTGCAGTCGGGCTGGCGATCACGTGCGCAAGCTGGCAATCAAACACCTACCAATTCAGCTGATCCTTCGGGGAGGGCGCGAATCCAGAACCACCATCAGCGTGCAGGGCGGCCCCGCCGACACCACAGGGGGCGGCCAGAGCGCATCCCAGTCCACTCACACCCGAGCCAAGCATCGTATTGACGCCGGCCCTGGGATTGCAAAGCGTCTCCCTCCTCCCTCCTCCCCCTTCCTCCTCCTCATCCTTATTCCTCCTCTCGGCCGCGTGCCGCGCCGGGCCCCTGGCGGTGGGCGCCGTCACCCGCTTGGCGCCTCGTCGAATGGGTTGGACCTGGCAACCCCGGGTGGCCGCGGGCCGCCGTCATCCCTCCAGGAAGTGGGGTTAGGAGTATCAGGAGGGGTTGGGGGGAGGAGGGCGGAGGAGGAAGGCGAGATGGAGGAAAAGAGCTGGTGAGGAAGAGCGGGAAAACGGGTAATGAGGGGGGGAAAAGTACAAGGTTCTTTTCGGAGGAGAAGGCTGAAAGAAGGAGGATGGGGATGACGAGGGAGATCGGTTCAGAATGTGTCAGGGGACGCACCAGGGTTATTGGGAGACCTCCTCCTCCTACTCCTCTTCTTCACCCTTCCCCACCTGTACCATCTGCTCATCCTGCTCCTGCTCCTGCTCATGCCCCTCCTCTCCCTCCCCCTCTCCTCCCCCTCTTCCCTCTCCTCCTGTTTCTGCTCCTGGTCATTCTCCTGATCCTGCTGCTCCTGCTCCTGATGCTGTTCTCTCTCCGCCTCCTATCCCGATGCGCCGTCCTGATAAACAACTCCCTCCATGTTGCACCACCAAACGTATCCGTAGGCCAGCCGTGCGTCTCGCATGATACGTCGGATGCTTGCCTGTTACTTATTACCCAGAAGCGGGAACATTCCAACAACTACAGGGGCCGAGGGCTGGAGATTTCTAAAATGTGGCCCACGCCTTAGAACCGCGACTATATTTTGTCAAAACTTCCAACAACCATGTAAGCCAGCATGGATCCCAAACGAGAGGATTTTAGCAATATCTGCTGTGCATTTTGTTGTGAAATCACTGTGGTGCAATTTGCGTGGTGCCATCTATGCATGCACTTAATTTCTGTTCGCACTGAGTTGTCCGCCCCAATGCTCGAGCAAACATCCCACCCACCCACCCGCAACTTGGTTTGTAAACCTCATGCGGCGGCGATTGCGATGAGTGCTCGGCGCTGGCTGGTGCATCTCTGCGGCCGCGCCAGCCCGCGCATGCGCGCGCGCGCAGCGGCCAGGTAGTTTGGCGCGACCGACGCGGCCGCGGTGGTGTTGACCGCTCGGCACATTCAAGCGGGCACTTGAGCGCGAGTCGGCGGCTTGGGCGGGTGGGGTATCATGGCATCGTCGACACTTGTAGACACGATGATGATGATGATGATGATGATGATGATGATGATGATGATGATGATGATGATGATGATGATGCTGATGATGATGATGATGATGATGATAGTAGCGATGTTGGTGGCGATGCTGGTAGCGACGACGGCACGACCAGTGATAGCGCTGATACCGATCACACCGACGACGATGACGGCGTCTTCGCGTCGGTGATGAAGGTCTTGAACAGAATTCGAAATGCGCGCGCGGCAGACGCGCGAGAGTGGCTCGCATGGTGTTATTTGACACGGACCGGGCCACCCCAGCACGCGTCAGGGCGTTCGAACGATTTCGACATGCGCGCGCGAAGCCCGTGCATTTTGTGAGCATTTTTTTAATTTCGTGGTTTTTGTAAGAATTCGCAAGAGCGCGCACGCTTTTGCTCAAACTCTGTGTTGCGAAACCTATTGTTTTTATATGTTGTTTAACACTCAATTTTGAAATCCTTCCGAAACCAACCGTTTTTGAAGGATTCCGGCATGCGTGTGCGACGACGCGCGCGCGTGCACTTCGTCACATTTTTTGCGAAGGATTCTCGCGACGGCACGCGCGCAAGGGCGTTCGAACGATTTCGACATGTGCGCGAGCGAAGCCCGTCTGGTAGTATTATCTGGAAGCCTTCCTTTGGTTCTAAGAAATAACCGATGTTCTTCTTAGGAATTCGCAAGAGCGCGCATTTTTTTTTTTGTTGAAAACCAGTGTTGCGAAACCCTGTGCCGTTATATGTTTTTGGGACATTCGGTTTTGAAACCCTTCCGAGACCAAAGGTTTCTCAAGGATTTTGGAATGCGCGCGCGACGACGCGGACGTGTGCACTTCGTCCCACTTGTTAAATGGATTCTTGAAAATGTACGATTTCTGATCAACGAATGCGCGCGCATAACTTTTTGCAGAGGGGCCGGGAGGGCCGGTGCGGGCCTGGCTGGGATAGTGTGAACTCACAACTAGGATGGACATTGGGTCAGAATCCTATGCGTTTTGCATAAGTGCCAGGGGGGTATTTCACCCCGGGGGGGGGGGTAGAATTTATTTCCGTCTAGAAAAAGAAAATCTATTGGGTGCAGGCAGTACTTGTGGTGCGATCGATGTCTGTGTTGTGCAATTTCACATGCAAAGCGTTATGTTGTCAACGCCATTGCTCGCGCAATCATCTTCCCGCACACCCGCAATGTGATTTGCATAACCACGCGGCAGCGATTGCCATGACTGCACGGCGCTGGCCGGCGCGTCGCCGCGGCCGCGATAGCGCGGCGCGGCCGCGGTGGCGCTGACCACTGGCGACTTCCCAATGCGTCTCGCAAGCCGCGCTGACGCGCGGGCACTTCAGTGCGAACCGCTGACTCGGGCGGGCGCGGTATCATGGTGACGTCGACAACGGCAGGCACGATGCTGATAATAGCGATGGTGGGGGCGATGAAGAGATCCACAGGAGGCCCCAGTGGCAAAGTTCTCATGGCGGCCCCGCCCCATTTCGGCGCACGCCTCACACGGTTCGTGGCCCCGCCGGGAGCTCCGCCGAAAACTCCAGCGGCACGGTTCGCATGGCGCCACCGCGCCCATGTGGGCACGCCGCTCGCACGTTTCATGGCCCCGCAAGGAGCTCCACCGAAAGCCCTGGCGGCAGGGTTCGCATAGCGCCACCGCGCCAATTTCGGCGCACCCCTCACACGCGTCGCGGCCCCGCAAAGAGCTCCACCGAAGGCCCCGCCGGCAGGGTGCGCCGCCGCGCCCATTTCGGCGCGCCCCTCGCGCGTTTCGTGGCCCCACAGGGAGCTGCACCGAAGGCGGGGCTTACAACTGCGGCACTCACCATTGCATATGGCTGGGCCCTTCGCCAGGATAAATATGTTTATGCTGTTTGCGGGGGGGGCGATGTTGAAGTCCGCGCGGCGCCCGACGTTTTTGAATGATTCCTGCAAGCGCGCGACGCCACGCGCGCGTGGCCTATTTCTACAATAGATGGATGTACACGCATACATATGGACACATGCAGTGCCCCCCCAGCACGCGCGCGAGGGCGTTCGAATGATTTCGGCATGCAGCGCGGGAAACCAATTTTGCTGAGTTCGATGAACATGTTGAAACTATGATTGTCTTAAGGATTTGAAAGAGCGCGAGCGCTGGCTTTCTCGAACACCAATGTTGCGAAACCATGTGTTTTTTTCATGGTTTCGAGGCACTCGGTTTTGAAATCCTTACGAAACCAACGGTTTTTGACGGATTGCTGCATGCGCGCGCGACGACGTGCGCGCGTGCACTCCGCCCCACCCGTTGCAAAGGATTCTCGCGAAAGCGCGCGCGCAAGGGCGTTCGAACGATTTAGACATGCGCGCGAGCGAAGCCCGTTTGGTAGCATTTGTTTTGCCAATCTTTTGCTGCATAAAAGCCGACGGTTTTAGCGCGAATTCGCAAGTGCGCGCACGCAAGCTTTCTCTGGAAATCCGTGTTGCGAAACCATGTGTGTTTGTATGTGTTTTGGGCATTCGTTTTTCGAATCCTTGAGGAACCTCCTGTTTCCGGGGATTTCGCACGCGCGCGCGACGACGCGCGCGTGTGCACTTCGTGCCATTTGGGATTCTTGACAACTTGTAATTGTTGATCAGCGAGTGCGCGCGCATCATATTCTTCTGCAGGGGATCACGGGGGGTGTCGGTACCGGCTCGGCTCGGATGGTATGAGTTCATATTTAGGATAGACGATGGGGCAGAATCATCTGTAAATTGCAATGCGAAAAAGGCACCGGTAATCCCTGGGGGGGGCGTATGCTCTAACTCCCTTTACGAATGGAGAGTGCACGTGGTGCAATCTACGCGGTGTAATCTGCGCATGGCCCCAACATGACAGGAGGCCCACGGTGCGTCATCTGAAACCTGCGGCGCGCAGGATGAACGGAGATTGCGCAGTCGATGTGGCGCTGATACCGGAGATCCTACCACGAGCGTCAATCCATCCACCAGAAGATGATCTGCGAGCATCTCTTTTCTGCTCGCCAGATCGATGGCCGCAGACGATCAGACGAGAAAGGAGGCACTCGCACGCTCGCAGATGGGTTTGATCAACATCCACCCCCCTGCTGCGGACCCCTGGCCAAGCGGCGCCCGCAGCGCAGCCGGCGGCGAGCTCCGAGGAGGTCAAACAAAAAACAAAATGGAGGCCCCCCAAAAACTTGCCCGAACGAAAAGGGGCGGGCCTAAGATGCCGGCCCATGTCGAACGCTGATTATCGCGCGGTGCCGGGGGCGCAAAGGCGAAACGTCGGAGACGGCGCGCTTCGCAAAACGTGGCCTGGCGAGACGAGGGGCGAGGGCTAAACTCAGGCATCTCCAGGGCGGGCTGAGCAGTGCTCCAGGGGGCCCGCGGCGCCCTCCACCCTGCAATTCCAGCGGCATCTGGCAAGGCCACGGCGAGGGCGACCACTGGCGAAGACATCTCGATCGAGAGCACGGATGGGCGCCAGTCCAAGACGGCAGCTGCTATCCATGACGAACCCGCGGATGACCTGAGCGACCCCTGAAACTTGACAGACGCGCGCCCCCGCGGGAAGCCGACGGGCGACGCGCGCCCGCAGTCGTCGGGCGGGGGCAATGGGAAGGGTCCTGGGGGCGCGCCCTCAGACGACGGCGGCGCAGCCTCTCTTGGAACCCGCCCGCTTGTGGGATGGTCGCTCAAGGGGGAATGTTAGACTGTTGAACTGCCAAATCATGACCGTTGACCGAGCGATAGGGCGGCGCCGCCAGGGCGGCCGCGCGCGCCGGAGGCGCGCTTCACTCCGCGAAATCACGGCCCCAAGAAGAAAGCGCGCTGTCGAGAAAACAATCGCGCAGCGTGCAGCGCGAACCTGCGTCGCAACCCCGACGCGGACAAGACCGATGACCTCGACCCGGGCCGGGTTTAC